ACGACATCGAAGGAGCCGACGATCGCCCCCTCGACGATGTCCTCTTAGAACTCTGCCTTAGCGACCCACGCCTACGCGATGTAAAGACAGCCCTCGCTTCTAATGACCGCCGTATCCCACATTACCTCATAGCGGAAGGCATTCGGATGGAACTAGCCGACCTAGAAGCCAGCAACGACGGCAAGCTATTTATTGGCAACGGGCGTCTTGTCGTCCCCTTCAGTGAGAAACTCCGTACGAGGATTATCGCACACATCCACAATAGCCTACCGGGCGGCCACGGAGGTCGCACGACGACGTACCAACAAGTAAGCCAGTGGTACTACTGGCAGGGCATGACGAACACAATTGCGCGCTTTACCAACAACTGTCTAACCTGTAAACGCTCTAAGGTTAACCGCACCGCCAAACATAGTTTGCTTCACCCGCTGCCTGTCCCTACTCAGTACTGGGATGACATATCCATCGACTTCATCACCCCACTGCCTAAGTCAACCTGGTGTGGTCACTCTTACCAACACATCATGGTCGTGGTTGACCGTCTATCAAAAATGAAGAAGTTCATTGCAATGGAAAACCTAGAGGTGCCTACAGTCGTTGACAAGTTTATGGAATACATCTGGAAAGAGGAAGGATACCCAAGGACTCTTGTATCAGATCGGGGCCGCCAATTCACGTCACATTTCTGGAATCGCCTGTGTGCCCAGGTGGGAACGCACCCTAAACTCTCTACCTCCCATCACCCAGAAACCGACGGTCAGACCGAGAATGCAAACGCCGATCTCAAACAATACCTAAGGGCGTACGTTAACTACCTACAGACGGATTGGGCCCAGCTATTGCCTTTAGCAGAATTTGAAGCCAATTCGGCCATTAGCACAGCTACCGGGTTATCTCCGTTCCTCGCCACAAAGGGACGCCAACCGCGATCTGGACTGGAGCCCGCTCACCTTCTGCGCCCCCTTAACAACCACCCTACTATCGCCCAACAGCAACGGAACGCTGATGCCCTCGCCCAGCGCATTGACACAACGCGCACCTTCCTGCGACAACAAATCCTATGGGCTCAAGACAAGATGAAAGAGTTCGCAGACGCGAACCGATACCCAGCACCACGGTTCGACGTGGGTGACTGGGTGATGCTGAACGCCCGCCACATTAAAACCGAAAGACCAGTTAAGTCACTAGACCACAAGAATATAGGGCCATACCAGATCACTCGGGTCATTGACAACATGGCCTACGAACTAGACCTCCCTCCTCAGCTTAAAGCTATCTTCCCAGCCTTCCACCCATGGCTCCTACAACCGTACGAGGACGACGCCTTACCCGGACAACCTCGTCCAGGCGATGCCGCTCCCCCCGAAGTCCACCTTGGCAACGATGGAGTCACAGAATACGTGGTCTCCCAAGTCCTAGACTCTCGCATACGACGCAATCTCGTCGACCCTCACACAGGTGAGCGTGGATTGCTGCAATACAAGGTGGAATGGGTGGGCGACGATCAGTCAGAGCCATGGCAGCCCTACCATAACCTGCGCAGCTGTAAAGAGTCAGTCCAGGACTTTCACAGCCGCAACCCTGGCCGACCAGGACCACACGCCACATTTCATGACTACGATGACGACGGACAGCTCGCTATAGCCCTGCTCCAGCTACTAGATAGCAAGTACTCAAATAAGTTTGCGCCTCAGTCGGAACTTTGAGCGCTTTTCGGGGGGGGACGTGTGATGGTTTTGGGCCGTTGCCCCGCACAGGCCACCTGCCAGATGCCTTAGCGTTGTTTTGATGTTCGCGCACGAGCCACCTGTTTGGTGGCCCATGCACACCCCCACTTAGATATATTCCGCGCAGAGCTTCTTACAAGCTCTGCACTGCAATTACTTTGTAATTCAACACAGTTTCAAATACCTGACCTATGTGAGACCCTTACAAGGACAACAACGTCCGATAGACGTTTAATACAGCACAAAACTCTAATTAATCTAAGAAGAAGACCGAGAATAAGACTAATAGACCTACTTTAGCATCTAGAGGCCGACGACCTTACGCTAATCAAATCGACGACAATAACTCAAATAGAGACTATTACGCAAATAATACGTTTTACTTAGCTTAGATTACAACACTAAAAGGTGATACTCTGCTCGACAGATAGATCGTTAATCCTGGTTCTAACGTCTATATCTGCAACTCGACCTATTTTAACTAGCGTACGACGTTAAATGCTAAATCAACTAACGTTATCTTCGCAGGCGCAACCAGCTATTAGGTTGCTGCCTAGGGGGAGGTAATTATTAATGTCAATCGAGGCAATTAGAAGAAGGATATACTCCTAACGCATATCGCGTACGTACCAGGTTTTCTCACGAACCTCTTCGCCCTTGGACGCTGCCGACGCTTAGGCATCCACTTCGATTCAGGGCGCAACATCCTCTACAAAGAGAGGATCTCTAATATTGTAGCTAACCTTGAATATAGTTATAGCCACTAGCTGCTCGATGCGAAGGAGGCTAATCGCCCTCCTCGCTATAAGCTTCTTAGCATAGCTGCAAGATCGAGCCAGAAGAAGGCTCCTCAAACTGTCACTGCGATGCGAGCGCATCAACTGCTCGGACACCTAAGCTATTAGGCACTTGAACACCTTCAAGATGCAACTACTAGCCTCAAGATAGGCACAAACGGAAAAGGAGATCTATAGATAGACGATTATGTATCGTGTATTTAAGGCAAAATAAAGGAAGAAGTTAGCCGCCGACCTCGCATTAATTAAGCTTGTCGACCGTTCTATCGTATCTCTATCGATATTATCTAACTCCAGGAGCGTGGAGATGTCTGTTACAACGGTGACGTATGGGCATTGCATGTAGTGTGTGAGTACACGAAATTTCATGAGATCTGTACTCTCAGGAGTTAACATAAAGCTACTGTTGTTCCTGCTATTATTCGACTTATTAACAAGATTAAAAGAGTATACGGCTACTAGGTAGCTATAGTATTTATAGACGGAGACGTTAGGTATAGCAAAGCTAAGGCAAATCTCAGTTCCTCTGCTCAAGAAGAGCTATCATCAGCAGGTATCAAGGTAGAAATAAGATCACCTAATACTCTAGCACAGCTAGGGGGTGTAGAGAGAGCTAGAGCCGTGATTGTTATAGTCGCCAGAGTCATCCGTATCTATGCTGGTCTACCTAAGGCACTAGCTAATAAGCTAGTCTATACTGCGGTAAGACTCCTTAACGTTACTCCAACGAAAGCTCTTAGATGGCGTACGCCGCAGGAGATAGTTACTGGCATCCAACCAGACCTCTCACGACTCCACGTTATTAGAAGCCGTGGATTCATACTTGACAAGCATCTCCTAAGAGGAGATAAACTAGAGAAGCGCACCTTTAAAGGATTTCTTATTAGATACGACGCTTCGAACATCTATTAAGTCTAGATACCTACCACGAATTGAGTTATCCGTGTACGAGATGTACGATTTATTAATAAGCTTTATAAGGAGAAGCCATCAACACTACCCGTAGAGCCTCGCATTATTGAGACGGTCCACATTCCTGAGGAGGAATACGATAGAGATACTATTGTCGTGGCGCAGCCTGTACGACAACGACAGGAAGCAATTACTACGCCTGTCCTACCACTAGATTATATATCTAAAAAGGAGTATAATAGTGACACTATTGCAGTGTATTAGAAGCCTGTTCGCTAACTCCTCTCTCTATCTCCTACACCCGCTTTTGAAGGACAAGATCGAAGTCCTTCTCCTAATCTAGTTGAACAACAACTACTGCAGGTGTCAGATTGAGGCGAGGTTTTGCTCCATGATCGAGCCGATGGTGGTTGGGGAAGGACATGAGACCCCCAAACCAGGGCTAGCGCCGGGACTTAGCACTGCCAAGCCCGAGGCGAGGCCACCTCCCACAGACAGAGCCGTAGACAGGGAGAGACAATAGACACCTCGATCCCATCCCATAAAAATCTGACAGGCGTAATCTACGCTAATTTAAAATCGCATATAAAACTACTAAGGGTCACTAGTAAGCTTATTAGATAAGTAGGTTAAGTAGCTAAGTAAAGGCGCTTAGTAGATAGCTTATAATATAGTGTTAGTGCAGGAGAAGATAGGCCGCCTTTAAGACGCTATTAATACGCTTATAAAGCGTAAGACCTATAAAAGACGCTACGTACGGACAGAGGAGGTATTAATAGTTAGTAAGGTATCTGACCTAATTGCTAAAAGGGAGGGTAGTGGTTGTGAGGAGGGTGAGGAGCCTGCGAAGAGGGTGCGCGCAGGGCGACGCTGCGGCCGTTGCGGTAAGATTAGGCACAACTCTCGCACCTGCAAGGTAGAAATTAAGAATATAAATAATAGCGACGCTTCTAAATAATCCTATAGTATTGCGTATAGTATAGCAATTTATTGTGGTGTTGCGTAAAGTTGCTGCGCAGGCGCGGCGATTGTGTTGGGGTGGCGACTCGGTTGGGGTGGCGACTCGCTTGTGAACCGTACATATGGAGATCTCTCCATCCAGCTCTTGCTCACTACTAATCAAATACTATACACTTTGTTCGTTGCAACGACTGCTAGTATTCGACACCTTTGCCGTGTCAACAATTCAGGACCCTCGATTTACTAATCTATCAATTCAATCTAGCCTTCAGCGCCAAGGCTATCAATCCAATTCAATTTAACGGCCGCAAATTGATTGAATTGATTGTTGCCATGTCTGCACACTAGACTACAATAAGAGACAATCAGCACCTGATTCGCGTTGCATGCACGCGTCTTTGAGGCAGGATGCACGATTACCCGACTAGGAAGAATCAGGGGTCGATACTACGGGGGCATCATACTAGGTCTGTACTTCTCGTACAAGATGACTCAACCCAAACACGACCACATCATCTAACAAAACGCCGCTCTACTACTGTAATATGCTCCAGTAATACCCGGAAACACAAATCACATTGCTAGAAACAGCGAACACACGCTCCTAGTCCCTCTCCACTTGTTTCAGTTGAACGAACAACGGAATCTTCTCCCAGACCGTAAACGCCTTCTGTTTATCCGGCCAGCCCTGGCTCTCAGGCTGCAACACGAAGTCGAAGTTCCAAAAGAGCCGAGCAGCAATAAGTCGCAGTTCATTATAAGCCAGATTCTTGCCTATGCAGTTTCGTGGGCCGAAAGAGAATGGTTGGAATGCGGCTTTCTTATCTGCGTTGAACTGTGGGTCGTGGAAAGGGTGGTTGGGACTTAGCCAGCGTTCAGGAATGAAGGCATCGGGTTGAACGAAGTTGTTAGGGTTGTGGTAGACCGCCCATTGGAAGATTGTGATTAGAGTCTAAGAAAGATTGTCAGTCGTGGTCATGTCGATTTGTACAAGCTGGGATAGTTGAATAGTATTGTTGTTCGACAACAGTCGGGGCATAGATGGAGGGGTGCAAAGCATCTGCGGGGTGTAACTTACACCTTTGGGGATATAGTAACCGTTCACGTATTCACCAGGAGAGACGCGTGGGGGCGTCTCTGGAGCTGGCGGGTATACTCGCAGAGCTTCTTCAATGCATGCTGTCAAGTATTTGAGATGCGCAGTGGAAAGCATCGTAATCTCCTTCTCGGTGCTGAAGGCTGTACGAATCTCATGTTGAAGCCTCTCTAGCGCCTGCGGATTCGTTGTAATGTAGTAGGTCAAGCCTGAAAGTGCGCTGGCTGTCGTCTCGCTTCCGGCGACAATTAGAGCCTCGGAATTGCCCAGGATCTCTTGATGGCTCATGCCTTTCTCATCGTTGTGGCGAAGGATGTAGGTCATGAAGTCCTTCCGGCCGTTGGGGGCTGACCCAAGGGCTAGTCTTTTCTCCACCTTCTTATCAGTCATTGCCTTGCTTTCAAGTCGCTTTTGCATGTTCTCTTTGGAAATCACCAGTCGTAGAATCCAACTGAGGGCAGGCATCTTCAGCAATGCAAGCATTTGAGTGTTGCCTTTGAGGCCAAGAAATATCATGGCAACCCACGGATGATAATCGCTGTTCTCTAGGCAGTCGAACGGTTCCCCAAAGGCTAAATCGCCAATGATGTCGAAAGTTGTGAAGTTGAACCATTTGACCATGTCCGTTGGTTGATGTTGCGCGGCGTCTTTTCGTAGATGGACGAAGAGCTTGTCAACGTACTGCATTATCAGCGCCTCCTGCTCCTTGATGGCGGCATCAGAGAAGGCATGTGCAAGAATACGGCGCTGACGCCGATGGCTCTCTCTGTCGGATGGGAATATCGATAGGTTCGACTTGTCTCCAATCTGGTAGAAGTCATCGTAGTGAGAGAATTCGGGTTGGTTGCTACGACCAAATCCGAACACTTCAGACCATCCGATGGTTCCGTTGATGGACAGTGAATTCGGCCCAGTACGCACAATGTCACCGTACTTTTCATGCAACTGCAGGACTGTTTTGACGAAACGACCTTTCAACTGGTTCTCGATAACTAGAGGAAGTCCAGACACGGCAAAGTGCCACGGTCCTGGGGTCTTGCGAAGAGGGTGCACGTAGAGACGATAGATTGCAAGGCCCAATGCATAGACAACGCACTAGGAAAACAGTCAGAAGGCAGCTGCGTGAATGAAACGGAGATACGCACAATCTCGAGAAGAAGCAATACAGCAGCTAGTGCCTGATGGTACCACATTATAATGGAGACGAATAAAAAGGCCTTGAACGTTAAAATAATTCGAGTATAAATTGAAAGGTAAAGATAGTAACTTTGGAATACACGGCGTGAGATTTTGGGCGTATGCGTGCAAACGAATGGCAAGACCACTTCAAATCGGAAGGCGATATAATATAGGCCCTGTGAACAAATCTTCTCTGGGGTTAGTCTCTCTACCTTGTCTGCTAATCCATGGCTTCTACAGATTAAATGATGTCTGCCAACGTTTTGCTTTGAGCGTTGGGTGGACCCTATTAGTATCCAAGAGAGCGAACAAGTGGTTATGACTGGGTATAACGGTCGGATCTTGAGTGTTTCCGAGTGGTTAGTCTTGGTAAGCGTTTTCTGTCAAAATTCTCAATACAGACACTAGGGTCGGATCGCGCCTGCAGCCATCCGGGCGCGTGCGACTTCTAAATTGGTTTTACCCCATACTTGATCTGATCCTGCCTTTGCAGCTCAGGCTGTGCTGCAGCACGGATATCCTTAGCCTGCAGATGACGTAGTCTTGTCCGCACCAAAAGTCGCGGCCCAAAAACCGGACCAGCCTTGTAGTCCGGCGTTGTGATAGTTTAGAGCCTTAGCGCCCAGAACCTTGGTATTCTAGCACAGACTGCGCTAGCGCCCTAGGGACTAAGACCTACCGAGGATGTGCGCGTAACCTGCCCGTGCACATCGTGCCCGGATTCGGATCGTGCCCCGCCGAACATCAAGACGCGTCTCAACACCACAACTTTGACGCACAATAATTCAACAACTATGGCTCCGATTGACGATGCGATTTGTCAGATAGCAGGCGTGTCGAGCCGAAAGTGCCGACACCGCTAGCTAATAACGGGTTAGCGTCTTAGCAGAACAAAACTCTCAGCGCGCACCTTAGAACAGCAGAATACACACAATAATCAACAATTATCAGTTTACCACAACATCTTATTATGTCTGACAATTAAGAGTCTCACTGCCTTAATAACAAGCGATAAAACCACGAAAATGGCAACAGTCTAGACCTAACGGGACGCGACGGTTATCCTCACCGACTTAAGCAACTAGATCCTATAGTACCGCTAACTTAAGCTGAAATGCTAGTCGCAAGGCATTTGGCTACTGTTAGACCTCGAAGGAGTACGACTCTAGCGTTGTTAGATAATAGCACTGTTGAAGATGAGAGCGTACAGACGCTGGGTTAGACTAGCGCGACCCGGCATCTGTGAGAGCCAATCGGATCACAGGAAGGCTTGGCACCCCCTAGGTGTGCCCACAACCGTAGACAGAACCAAAACACAATCAATCATCAATATTATCATCATCATTACCTATTTCATCAGTATTCCAGATGAGAGTGAATATCTGACAACATCAGAACCTGCCGATACCGGACGAAGGACCCGCCCGACAAATCGGTTACCGGTAAAGATATCCGGAAGCCGGATATCTATCCGAAGAAACTATATAGCCGGATAGCCCTCCATAGATCTTAGGTTAACGAATTCATCTGATTCTTTCTAGCAATTGCCCTCAGGGTCAGCCCCTTTCAGGCTGAAACGCGTTGGTGCCTCCGCGTGAGTGTAGATCGTACAACACCATAAGCTTGAGCAATTTGCGTATAATTAGGCTTTTCTCTAGGTTCTAGCGACTCTATAGCTGTAAGCGCAGCCTCAATCGGCTCCATGTTGGGTGAGTTATACGGTGTTGAAGGTGGGGTAGCATTCTAATGGGGTGCGCGTTACGCCGGGCCGTGCGTTACGCCGGGCAGCACAGTAAGCGCCGCCCTACTGTACTAGTGCGGAGAGTGTAAGGCGGGCGTCACGCATAGAGAGGCAGTCTGGATAAACAAGCTTGATTCAAGAGTAGAGAGAATAGTGTACGAGTGTAGACGGTGTCTCTTGTTTCGTGAGACCACGCTGCCGCTGGTGACTAATGGACGTAGATTGCACGGGTGAGGTATAGTTACTCTAAGCTTCTGCAGCCTTCTGGTTGTAACGCTAGAGCCAGTAGAACAAGATTCTCCTAACGCGTTCAATCCTCCAAAACAAAAACGCACGGACCAGTGCCTAGGTAATTAACTATAGGTAACGTGGTTCACAAGCGAGTCGCTCACGCCCCACCAGCGCGTCAACGTCAAGACGTTATCACACACTTTTATCGCAGTCAATAAACTATTACAGTATACCAAATTAACTATTAGAATCGCTACTATCACTAGCTGATGAAGGTGGAGAAACGTGCGTGAACTTGTTGTATTGGAGCTACGGGAGGAGGGAGAATATCTATGGTGCGCGCACGGAGCAGCTGACTAATCAGTGCCTGGCCAATCAGAGCACGGGAAGCCTGATTCACCGTGAATACTAGTGAAGGCTCTCACCGCGTCTCGACACTAGCACTATCCATCTTAACTACGCAGGTACGAGCGTTGTGTCCAGTCTGCTTGCAACGCCCGCACCGCCTCTCTCCTCGCACCCGCTTCGACGCACTCTCGCCATCACCATAACTGCTACCCGCCTGTTCAGCTGATAATTCTTGTACCTCGCCTATATTGAGAGTCTCGTCTGCCCGTACGTATCGCTGCTTGTGACTTTTACGCTTATTTGCTTCATCTAGAGCCTCTTGAAGGCTGCTCATTTTCTCCATCATAAGCACCATCTTATGTGCCATTTGCTGAGCCCCTTTACTTAACTGCGCAACCTTCTCATCAAGTGAACTTGCAGAAGACCGAGGGCGGGTTTTTACTCTCTGTCGAATAAGAGTACTTTGAGCCTCAACTTCGCGGGCGTTGCGTGGTGTCTTCACCTCCCAGTCGTCTACCCGTCGCGGTGATTGTTTTGGTGTCTACACCACCATATCAAGCTTTGATAGCACAGCTTGTGGGTCATGTGGGACTAGACCAGCGCCTCTAAAGCCAGCTTGGATATTTTCCTTAGTAAAGGATTGCTTAAAAGCAGCCTTAAACGCTGGTAGGAGGGTCTCCTTGCTAATATAGTAGGTTGTCACGGTAACCACCGTGGTCCCCTTGACACTCCTGCCTCTGACCCATGCGACCCTGCTCTTAACCCGTACGCTCCTATCGCAACAGCGCAATGTACTATCCTCGACAGTATGCTACTGCCCCGACATCTGTATGACGTCACACAAGCTTCCTTCCGCTATATATCTTTCTCTGGTGGAACTCTCCACTTCTTTTCTTCACGCAACGTCTTGTATTTACACTTGAGTACTGTACGTAGCACACAAATCAAACTTCTTCATAAGTTCTGAGATTACTGCTCGTTGCCTCTCGTGACATAGGTGCGGTTGCGTGCTAAGCCTGAAACTACGTCGCTATACTTGCGCTTTAACGGCGCGAAGCAGGCGACATTAAGAGGCTGTAATATACAAGACGAGTGCGCAGGCATACAGAGAAGAATAATATTCTTCTCCTTACAAAGATCTTGAAATTTGACAGAGTAGTGGCTCTCATGGCCGTCAATGATAAGCAGTCTATACCCACCAATAGTACAGCTCTTTGTATAGGTATCAAAGTGCTCTAACCACGCAAGAGCAAGCTGATTGTTTGTCCAACTATTAGGACTAACTTGAAGAACCTAATTAGTAGGTAGGCTCTTAAACCAGATGTTGATGAGTACCTTGCCCGCAAAGATAACAAAGGGTAGTAGCCAACGACCTAACGCGCCTATGCCTTGGATCACATTAGCCCACTCACGGTTTCCTGGCTGTATCCGCTTCTTTTTGCTAGAGCCTTTAGAGCCTGTGATAACTAACTGTGATAAAATCTTGTGTTGCGGTTTGTGAGGCAAGGGTATTGCGCATGTCACGTGCGTTGTCCTGGCGCTCCTCCCTCTCCTCCATGAGCACATTCTCCCCTTACCAGCATCAGAGATACGTCATGTAAATAGACCCTGATTATGGCTACATATAAGGTGGCCATGACAGCACAACAACAGACAGAACACAATATACTCTGATGACTGCCTCGCGCGGTTACACTTTGATTGAGTGCATATACTGCAACATCTTGCCTATTGTAAAGCCAGTTTTATTAAAGTTGTAGATATCGTCGTCTATAATACCCTACTTCTTCTTCGTCGCCTTAACTAGATCAAACTAGCGCTGGATAGCCGCTGGGTCCTCGCAGGTAGCTCGCTGGTGATTATAAGGACGGCTCCAGCGCGTACGGAGCTTAGGAGTCCTCTTTACAAAGTTGTCAACCCCGTTCTTGCTAATAGGGCTGCTCCCCCGCTCATATAATAGTTCATCAGCTATTACTCGAACGTCAGCCTTTGTAGGCGCAAATCCTCGCGTAGACTCCTCAAGAATACGGTAGACTATCGCCTCCTCTTCTACTTTATCTAGGCGTTTTGAATTCGGCTCGCAGTCGCGTCGGGGGCGCTTTCCAGCGCGTCGGAGCGACTCGCTTGTGAACCACGTTAGGCCTAATGGATCCCACTAGGTACGGTAATGGATCCCACCCCCCTGTAATTTTTTGACTTTATCGATAACCACCAAAATATAATGGATTCCACTGGGATCCAGGGCAGCCTCTTGGGTAGGTAGGATTTTCTTAGGGATTTTGAGGTGGTCTGCATGCCTATTTAGTCCTCATACCTATCAAGTACTTTGTTATATTAATCTACTAATCGTGCTATACAAGCCCCTGTGTCCAGACGACTCACTTATTCCCCGAGAACCAACCCTAGATCGCCTTAGGGTAATCTTCACACCTAGATTATCTTCGGACGATCTTCACAAGAGAGAATAGGCGAGCCTAACAATGTAATCTATACCTACCTTGGCTTGCCGCTTAAGCGTGGCAGCAACAGGCTGCACTGTGCCTTGGTCTGCGCCTGTAGGACCTTCTTCTTCCCTTTCTCCAAGTGCTGCTTAGCAAGAGTGGGACAAAGAATGTAGCGCAGCGCACTCTTCCTTGCTACTTCGGCGGCAACACCCTCTCCGGCAGCCAGATCCTAAGATCATCCAACATACGGTCGCGATGCTTGACCTGCGGTAGCAGGCGGTCTGAGCTCTCCACCATTTATCAAAGCTGCATAGTAAGTGGTCGTCAGCTAGCGCAGGTTAACGAGCCGCTTGGCAACCTTCAGGCTCTGCAGGGCCGGTGTCTTGTCTATCGTTTTCCTCGCGGCAAGAGACTAGACGAGCCAAGCGCCTCAGCAAGCTGCTTTGCTTTACGCTCGGTGCGCTCAGGTGTGGCTTAGCGGTGTGATGCTGTTGTGGCGCGCGTGGCGGGCCTGAGGAGGAGGCGCTTTAGCGTCGTTAATGTACTAGAGAAATGGGATACGTGGGAGAATGCCTAGCAAGCCAGATGTCGTGACTTCGTTATCCAAAGCATCACATCAGACGTCAGCCCACTCATCGTCCGCCTGCCGCCTCCTCCTTCCTAACAATTTATGCTTTCCTCTCAGTAAATTCCTTCCCCACCCCTTCGGTATACCCCTCTTCCTCCTCTGCTGCCTGCTCACCTCAGCCACCACCATCTTCCTCAGCGCATTCCTATTCAGCCTATCGATCCTGTCACAAATCCCAAAGGGCTGTTCATTGATGTCCTCGCCGAACGCCAAGCACACCGCCCTGCCCTGCTCGAGGATTTTGTCGCCCTCTCGCCAGAGTTCGTCGACCGTGTCTTTCCTCAGCAACGAGATTTCGGCCTTGTGTTCCTCCATCTCCGTCTCGAACTCCCCTTGTGCCTCCACACGATCATCATAAGCAGCTCTCTCGACGTCGCTGTACTTTGTATCGACCATCTTCTCGAAGCGCTGGAGCTGTTGCTGCTGGTACAGCTTGAATTGATCGGTGAGGTGGGTCCGGAGGTGTGGGAGCATTGTCCGGCCGACGACTGTGAGTGGTGGAAGCTTAGAGTATCGATTACCGCGGGAGTCGAAGGAGGCAAAGGAGGTGGCGGGCGAGCTGGGCAGAGACTTCGGGACGAGGAGATCTTCCAAGGCGTTGGGTAGGCGGGCTTGTAGAGCCGTGTCGAGCTGTCTGCTTACCGCAGCGTCGACAGCCTCAGTATGCCGAGCTTCATTGAAGTAGGCTGGAAGCTGTCTGGCAATCGCGGCGTCGATTCCTTCGGCTTGCAGAGCGTTGACTTTATTGAGATGCGCAGAAAGCCGCTTCTCGATGGCCGTATTGATGACCTCGGTCTGGTATTCGAGTTGCGCCCGTCCAAGGGCTGCAGCTGCAGCATCTGGACTGAATGGTATGGTCTTCTCGGACGAGTGCGATCCCGTCGGCGACTTAGGAGTCCAGCACCTCGGCGGCTGAACAGGTGAGTTGGGGCTTCCTGTGTGGCTCAGTCAATGAGCACAGGCTGCGGTACCGAGCAACTTACTCTGCCTTGAACGCTTACGGGTGCGAGAGCCCTCGTAAGCAGGCGGCGCTCCAGCAGCTTCGGTAGGCGCAAATACCTCCCAGCTTGCTTTCCTTAGCCCTTGTTTAACGAGTAGGGCTTCAACAGGGTAGCCGACTAGTCCCTTGGTTGCCTTGCTGAAAGCTTTGAACATACCCTGGTATTCCTTGCGCACATGGCTGTAGTCAAGAACAACATGGACCGTTGTTGTTTTGGCAAGATCGACAAGTGCCTGGAAAGCGGGCTCAAATCCAGGCTTGGGACTAAATGATAGGTCGCTGGCTGAACACCAGAGAGGGGACAGGCCCTTGGTTGATAGCTCAAGGGTCTTGATATCAGGGCGCTTTTTGCCCTTACCCTTGACAGGCAGGATCTCGTCCAGCTGTGATTGCGTAACATGTCCGTTACCGGTAGACAGTTTGACCGCGGAGGGCATCAACGTATCAGCATCGTACTGCAACACGAACTGGCTCTCCGTGCCATGGGCTGTGGGTATGCTAGCAACGAGCAGCAACGTTGCGAGCTTGGGGTCATCACACCGGAAGACGAGGGAACAAAGCAATGGCCATACGGGCTCGTCGACAGACAAGTTCGAAGCAGGATAGGCAAGCGCCTTGAAATCTAGATTAAAATTCATATCAGCTACCTAAAAGCACTCCTGCACTTACCGAATCCCCCTTGGCGCAGTCGCAATGAAAGAAGTTATCGACGCAGATGCGCAAGGTAACCCGCCCGCCCAGGCTTTGGAGCAGCCTTGACTCTGTGTGTTGTTCACCACGACCGTCGCAAACACCGGGTACGCGCTCGCAATAGACGAGCTGAAGCCCACCCCGCGGACGGCAGCCGAGAGACGAAACCAGGCTCGGACCTGAGCCGTCTACCTTTACCGCCAGGGGCCTTGTGAGATCACAAGGATGGTGAACTACGTCGAGTATTCGATACGCGCAACGGGAGAAGCGAGGGCGGAGGGCGCGATTCGTTGGAGGACAGAATCAAAGAATGACTTATAGCAGCGTTTCGCAAGAGTGTGATGTTGATGACTATGAATGGTGGTGAGGTCGAGGTCGAAGTAGAGGGATGACGGGTGGCTGGGGAACAAAGGAAGCGTGGGATCGCGCCATCACGTGGGCTTGGCGAAGTGACCCTGATTGGTGGGCCCCACTTTTGAACGAACACCAAAACCACGGAAGCACAAGGTCGCGCATTGCGTGCACGGACACGGTACCAGGCGTGGTGCACGGCCCACTTTCACGAACACCACAACGCAGCAACACTTTACCGTATTGTACGAAAGAACGTCATACTTATAAACGAGCGTTATATTGTTTACAGAGGATCCAAACATCTGACTGGTAGGATCTAAGATGCTCATAGGCAGGCATCTACTGATTGGCAGAAGCGTGGGTGCTCGTGGACGAGCGCTCACTGATTGATTGGTGGCGCGCCGCCGTTGACGGGCGGTCACGCGACTACGGCGTGGTTGCCGAGTCCTGATCCTTCAAAGTGCCGCTTGATCCTTCAAAGTGCTGACCGTTATCGCCGGGCCTTCTCCTTCACCTACTCAGGTATGGCGACACAGAACACCCCCTATTCCAAAACTAAACCCTTTCGGGAAATTGCGATCGCCGCTCGAGCCAACCCTACGAACACTACAACCTTCTTCCCTTCACCGCATAATTGTGATGGGCTAGAGCCCAGTTGGCGAATCCTCGATGGTATCTCAGTCACGTGTGCGAGACGCACAGAGCAACCACACGCGTCTAAACAACACTTAGACCATCCGCACAGTCCATAGGCAGAAGGTTATTGCGAGCTGCTCTCCGAACAACCTTCAGCACGAGATAGCTTGTAGTTCTCTTCCCCATCGAACACAACTCCAGTATACCTGTGCGATTGCTCCCTGAGCGTAGCCCCTTACACCTACCTAGGTTAGTTGCAGCGTGCAGCATCAGCCTTAGAGGTATAGGCACAGTTCGCAGATTCGAAGGTCGTCGGCATATCTAGCCTTATCGGCATCGAAGGCTTGCATCAGGTCGATCTGTCCCACACTTCGATGGCCACACAACGTGATGCCTTCAACGTGTCGCGGGCGCCGGTCGTCTACACTCACTCGTCGGCGCGCGCACTCCAATATAGTACATCACGTCAGGGTCATGATGTCTCCAGTAGTGCGCATTGCCGCACGCCACCGTCTGACTTGCAGCCGCGCTTCCCGTCGGTGCGGCTACGCAACCGTCCAAGGCGTACCGGACCGAACAATCCTAAGCCCACACCAGCCCGCGGCGCCATCAGAACGAGTGTATGCACGCTACAGAAGCCAGCTGGAACGACGAGCGCACGAGTGAGTACTGCCTCGGACCCCAAGTAGGCGACCGGCTGTCGTGCCAAGCCTGGCCATGGAGAGAGAGATGAGATGGCTAACGATGATACCCTCGCCGCAAAGGCTGGGTCTGGCAAACGTAGATCAGTTGCGCCACCGTCACGGGTTAGGCCACATTCGACAAGCTCAAGCTAGCCATTACGATACTACCGGTACGGCAGCGGCAGGGGTGCAGCATGCAGGGCCAGCCCCACGGGTGCTAGTCGCTGAAGTGGACCAAGTATCGAGCCCGCTCAAGAAGCTCGCAGCTTTTCTGGACGTCGACAAGGCAAAGAGCCTAGGCTTCGCTGAGATAGAGGCCGTATGGCGGCTGCGCCACGCGACGTCGGCATCCTCTCTTTGCGCAGCAATTCCATGGTCGACGTATGAGCGCATCACTGAGACGGCGCGCGCGCATCCGCGTTTTGTACTGCCGCTGCCACTGCCGCTGCCGCAGCCGCTGCCGCAGCCGCTGCCGCTGCCACCTTCGCTCTCCGCCGCAGCCCCGGATCAGCAAGAATCTCAGCAACAGCGTGCGACTCTGCACTACCTACAGTGGGCATTCCCCGCGCCTGATGCCGCGACGCTATCCATGACGCGTTTGAACGAGTTCCAACGCCGCGGGGTGCATGCGCATCCGCACACGACTGCGACGCTGCACCTCGAGCTGGCCAAGAGCAACGGCGTTGTGCTGCTCCAAGGCGAGGTCAACGGCATCGGGGCCGACGCGGCCCGCTTGCTGCTCATGCTGGCGCAGAGGTTCTGTTGCGGTTTGTGAGGCAAGGGTATTGCGCATGTCACTTGTGTTGTCCTGGCGCTCCTCCCTCCCCTCCATGAGCACCTTCTCCTCTTACCAGCATCAGAGATACGTCATGTAAATAGACCCTGATTATGGCTACATATAAGGTGGCCATGACAGCACAACAGACAACTCACACAATATACTCTGATCACTGCCTCGCGCGGACACACTTTGATTGACTGCATTCACTGCAACAGGTTCTATGCCGCCGACGCGAGAAGCATTGGTGCACGCCGACGGCGGCTTCTCGAGCTGTTTACGGCTGGCAGCGAAGAGTTTGACATTGATGCGTTGTTAGATGAGGCGGATATGGTGCAATAGATAGCCCAGTAATTCACAATGGGATATAATTGCCAAAGCGACCAAGTAAACAAGGGTTTCGCCATGGCGAGGCGAACGAATTGGAGACTAAATGCAAGTCACGTGCAGCGCAGCATGTCTCCGAAAGTGCAAAAGTCTCCGGCGTGTCAAATTCCTGATATTATTACCTTCAAATGTCTCCGGGACCCTTAGTCAGCCTCTTGTTCCTCTCCATCAATCATCTGAGCGCCCTTTCAACCCGTCACTCTTTCCCTCCACAATCCCCACCACACATTATCCATGCAGTCCCAACCGCCAGACCAGCCGTCGACGCAAGACGCCTCCCCCGTTGGCGCTGTTCCCGAATATTGTGCCAATGGAGCCAAACAAGTCCCCGCCTCGGAGCCTGCCTCAGAACCCGCCTCAGAAAAGCATGTAGACCATAGCGACAACTCTGACCCATCTTCCGTGTCTGCATACTCACCTCGTGACTGGCACTTTTGGGTCCTACTCTCTGCCCTCTGTGCATCCGGCTTCGTCGTCACAATGGATGGCACCATTGTCGTCACTGCCGTCTCGACCATTGCGACCGCACTAGGCTCAAGGCAGTACACGTGGATCGTCAACTCGTACACGCTCGCCTCGACTGTCCTGCAGCCGTTGACTGGCCAATTGGCTGAGATCTTCGGTCGCCTTCCCATTCTTCTGGCGAGTGTGCTGCTGCTCGCCATTGGAAGTGCAATGGCTGGCGCTGCGCCCTCATATGCCGCCTTGATAGTTGGCCGCACGATCCAGGGCATTGGTGGAGGTGCGGTGCCGCTGGTGGCAGAGATCATCATCAGCGACTTGGTCCCTTTGCAGGAACGTCCCAAGTTTATCGGTCTCGTCATGGCTACCTCCTCGCTGGGCCTGATTCTGGCACCCATCATAGGTGGCGCCATTCTCAGCGGAACCTCCTGGCGCTGGGTCTTCTACATCAACCTCCCCATAGTCGGCGCCGGTATCTTGCTCCTTCTTCCTCAGGCCGCCACTATCAAACGATTGACCCGCACCCCAACCGCAGGATCGTTGAGGGAGAGGTTGTCCCGCATCGACGTTATTGGAAATGTCCTCTTCTCAGCCAGCGCCATTGCAATATTGCTTCCTCTGACCTTTGGCGGTCACATGTTTGCCTGGTCTTCATGGCGTGTCATCTTCCCGCTCGTCCTAGGTGTTGTCGGCTTCGTCATCTTTGCCCTGCATGAGCGCTTCACCATTGGCAATAGTGTGCCGCTTGTTCCAGCGCGGCTGCTGAGTACCCCAGTGCTAGTAACTGTACAGATGCAGAGTTTCATTCAAAGCATGCTTCTGATGTGGATCAACTACTACCTTATGGTCTACTTCTAGGCCGTCCTCCAAAAATCCCATTTCGACGCTGGTGTCAACCTACTGCCTACCATCATCGCTATGATGGTAACGGCCATTGTCGGCGGCGGCGTCGCATCTTCGCTCAAGGCAAACGGCGTAATTATACTCCATGCCTTGGCTTTTACCTTTTTAGCTATTGGCCTCGGCTGTTTCACCATGCTTAAACATACCAGCAGCCTAGCTGTGCATGTGATTCTCCAGATAGTCGCTGCCATTGGAAACGGGCTGCTGTTATCGACTCTCTTACCCCACTTGCAAGCACAGCTGCCCGAGTCGGACATGTGGGCCATCACCACCCTGTTCAACTTTCTCCGCAGCTTTGCTCTGGTCTGGGGTGTCACGGTGCCATCCATCATTTTCGATCAGGAGATCAACGCGCACGTTGCCAGTATGCCAGACCAGTCCCTTCAACAACAGCTTGTCGGCGGTGGCGCTTATGCCCGGGCTAACCGCGAATTTATCCTTGGCCTTTCGGAAACCATCAGAGTGCCTGTCCTGGCCTTGTACGAGCGTGCGCTGAGGCCAACATGGTGGGCAGCCACTGCGTTTGCGCTTCTGGGACTTGTATTGGTTACATTTGAGATTGGGTCCCGTCGACGACCCAGTAAGGCCGCATCCGTGGAAACCGGACATAACTCGTCTGACCCGCATCACAATCCCACGGTGTGAGTACTGCAGATCTACTACAGTCTACGTTGGAATTAGACCACCTCCACATGCATGCTTCTTTGGAACAGATATGAGAAGCATGTAACAATAATAATAGCATGCTACATGCACAACTAGCTCAACTCTCGTCGACGAATCTCTCTTGGTATGACTACTACTCATAACAAGTCCTCCAACTGTACATTAAGAATTGTGGTTGTTGGGATGACACCGATCAGATTCGTTCAAGAGTGGGATTATTGATTGCTCTAAGGATCAGAAAGATCAGACGGCTAGTCCGGTATTTGTACATGATGGATCAGTCCCTTGGCACGGATCCGGAGTCTCAAAGACCCGATCCGATCACGTGATCATCCGACGTCGAACATCAAGTCCATTTCCGCGACAAGAATTAAATGCGAATCGCCTGTCCCTTCTCCATCAGGTCCCACTCTGATATTTGGTCCAGCCCATTCCCTCTGCCCCAGATTTTGCAATGCACAGCATCATGATGAAACCACATGACCATCAGAATCATTCGCACAGTTTCTTGTACCCACACCGGACAGTTCCCACGACCATCCGCATTCACAGTCGCTTTTGTCAGCCTCTCCGCAAAGCCCATAACCGGCATCCACAGCGCTAAGAAAAGATAGGCGCCAAGTAGTCGCATTCTCGATTTTGGGGCCGAATAGCAGGGCAGATTTGCCAGGTAAGATTGGTATGATGCTGGTAGGCCGGCTTCTGTGGCCCCCTCTGACAAAATATCCTAGTACATATTAAGTAGTAGCTAAATTGTTACTGTGAACAGTCTATAGGTACTGTATTCCAGCTACCTAATCCAGATGCTATTTACAGTCGAGATGAAGAGAAGAAGAGGAAGTGGACGGCCATCCCGCTTTGTTTGGGTTGGCGCACGGCGCACGGGCTGCTGGGGGAAGGAGTGATAGAAGGAAGGAAGCGACTAGGCCACTGGTCTAGTCATGTGACCTAGGGCTCAGCCCGTTACAGTTACACGGAGGGGTTATACTGCTCTTTCCTGGTCCGCACTAAGGCAGGTGAGTCTTATGTTGTTGGTTTTGTGTGGGTTGTCTGGCGAATAGGTGGGATATTAGGTATTTGGAAGAACAATCCAATTCTATATAAACGATAGAATAACTAGTATCAATCTAGGTAAGAGATGAACTATTTGAAGTTGACTACAACGAGTGTATTAAGGGAATCGTCCACAACTATATACTCGTTGCTTTGTCGAGTGCCATCCCGACCATCCCTTACATCCCTGGGATGTCAATGATGTTCGTGATGGCTGCCATCCCTAGGCGCCCTGCCATCCCTCGGATGGTTGGTCTTGGCGGGATGTCAGTCACGTGATCTGCGCGCCCCGCGCCGATCGTTACCTTCTGACGTGGGCTTGTTGACCTTCAACCTTGCGCCCACCATCAAGGAGAGAATCCTTCCTGTTATTATTATTATTATTATTATTATTCCATTAGTGTCGGCATACACACGGTGTGTCGCCTAATAAGGCCCAATGTACCGCCTCGATCCTACTTCGGCCCAACTCGGACCCAACGTTATGTATACCTTCGTAGCCCCCACATTCGTAGAATCATCATACACCAGAATACCAATACACAAGATTACCTTAGCTACTGTTATTCACCGTACGATCGTACAAGGCCTTCCAACACTGATCAGTGATTGCACGGCAGTCACAGACAGTTAGGTTAAGAAGAGATAGATTCTTTACCCCGCGCGTTCCCTAGATTGCCTATATCAGCAAGGCGGAGTTATCTATGCTAAGCTCACTGTTAGCTATATCAGGCGTCGTTCGTGGCTAGCGACCGACCGTTACAGCCGTATCAGAAGCGTTCCAAGACGCCGTCTATACACGCGCCAACCGACCGGTTGAGATTTGACCCGTGTACAACCCACGACCACCGACGCATCTCTAGCGAACGCAGCTAGCGCAACAAGCGTCAACAAGAACACAATAGCAGGAGAGAGAACATCATCGGAAAGAGCACCGGTAGCCAGGACACCGGCAGTAGGAATGGCGAGCAGTAGTAGAAGAGTGGTACCCACACTAGAGGCGCTACTAGGGACCACAAACATAAAACCAAGAGAATGGCATCACATCGATCCAGAGATTTGGGAGGACAACGTTGAAGCTCCAGACGATGAGGTAGGGATTACTACAGCAACAACGTACATTGCGCGTGCGATTGCGGACTATACAGATCGACCAACAGCAGATGAAGAACTCTTTTGGGAGTTCCGTCAGGACTTTGAAGGATGGACAGAGGCAATGTTCCTACGTGCCCAGCCAATATACACAAAGGAACTAAAGCGGATCCTCCGCTTTAAGGGAGTGTATACTGGCCGTATTAATATGGCACCTAGTGAGTCTCTAGCTAGGTTATTACGCATGGAGGAGTACCTAGAATGGCCTCAGGACGTATTCCAGTCGGCTGTGTTTGACACACGATCAGCTGCGCACATGTTGCAAGAGCGGGCACTACGGCAACAACGCAGTGAAGGATCAGTACAGTCCACAGACAGGAGATTATCAAGCCAGGCCCAGAGCCGAACCCAAACGCCTGTAAGGACAAGAGGCCGAGACGTAGACAGTCGGCAAACCCGCGATCAAGACCAGACCCACGCCCGTGTGCAAGGACGACAGGAGACCGTTGAGGAAGAACAACAGATTCAGGACCAGCTAGCAAAAACGATTGAGAAAGCCCAAAACCAACCAATCCGAAGCCAGCCTGTAGAGACAACTGAATCCGCACCGCAGCCAGCCTATCAGCGCGTCCAAAGTCAGCAACCTCCCCTCACCTACAACAACTTCGACCGATTCCGCGAGTATACACCAGCATACCCGCAACGTCCGAAGGGACTGAGCGTTCCCCCAATTGTGCCCTCTGGTGAAACAGACCCGTACAAGGCAGTTCCACCAATCGAGTTTGGCAATGAGAAACTGGATCCTAAGACGATCAATGTCTTCGTGAAAATGTGGGACCGAGACAAAAAGTATACGGGAAAGCCGTACGACCTCCTAGACGATAAATTGAAGATCTTCTACAGCATCTGTTATCACGCAGACATCGAGCCAGGGCAGTTCCATGCAGTCTTTCCACGGATTCTCGACGGCCGCGCAGAGGAGTATTACCTCCACTTCGTCGATCAGCGGATGGATACGTTCTTGACTGCCTACACAAAGCTCAAGAACCACTTCGACACAGACGTCAACCACGGCCATTACTACGCGGACTGGACGACGACATCGTTTGTCCAAAGTCCGCCAAGGGAGAACCCCGAAAAAACCTCCCCCGAGTCCTGACATCATGCTGGACAAGCTCCAATTGTGTTCAAAGAGCACTTGGACAGCAGTACATGGGAGAATACGCGCTCCGAACGACTGTAATCACAGCATGCCGAGGCGTGAAGGAGCTCGAGATGGCACTCTACAAGCCGTCTCTAGAATGCGAGGTTCTGTTTGGAGATCTGCGATCGTCAATCGAAAACTCACTCGCCATGACCGTCTCCGTCAACTTCACTGAGGCGGATACGGATAGCCAGTACTACTTGGATCGTCGGTACAACAACAACAGCTCTGGAAGATTGCGAGGGAATTACAACCCTCGCGGTGGACGCAGCGGATTCACCCCGCGGACGCGGTGGGCTTCAGCACCGCTCTGGAGTCAACACACAAATCGACAAGAAATGTTACGTCTGCGGCAAGACAGGCTGTTGGTCCACAAACCACACGCTTGAAGAAAGAAAACGCTCAAAAGCGCAGTACATCACACACTGCGCGATTACGGGAGAGCAAATGGAGTTTAGCACATTTCTCGTCGCGTACGAGGGGGAAGAAGTCGACCAGTTCTTCCTAGAGGAGCAAGACGAAGATGATGAGGACCAAAGATTGGCAGTTAAGTACCTCACAGATCAGGCCTTTTTGCACCACGTGACTGGAGAAGACGTCTACAGGTGCAAGGAGCCTATTACGCCCGCAACGCAGTTCCTTATCGAGGATCGATACTCGCGAATCACGTACCAAGGCATTCTTCCTGACACTGGTGCCTCAAATGTATCGACAGCCGGAAAGGAGCAGTTCTGGGCGCTCCAAACTGAGGACCCCACCGTAACTCTAGATACGTCTACTGCTGGAAACGCATCTGTGCAATTTGGCAAAGGAAGCGTCACTACTTCGATTGGAACCGCACATGTATCGACACAGATTGGAAAGATCAAATTTGAGGTCTTGAACGCACCCACCCCGTTTCTCCTCTGTCTGAAAGACATGGACCGGCTCCACGTGTACTTCAACAATACTACGGACCAGCTGGTACAAGGAAAAGCTACCTTTCCAGTGATTCGCAAATGGGGACACCCGTGGTTCCACCTAAGCAAGGCAGAGCGCGCGCGCGTATTCCTTACGGAGACTGAGCTCCGACGCTTACACCGGAGGTTCGGGCATCCAGCCGTCGAACGGCTGATACGATTGCTCAAACGCGCAGGACACGAGGACGTGGATGAACGGCTGCTCCGAGAGATCCAAACGTTCTGCCATCACTGCCAAGCGCATGATCCAGCGCCGCGCCGATTCAAGTTTAGGCTGAAAGATGATCGGGAATTCAACTTCGAGATCCTCGTAGATGTGATGTATCTGAGTGGGAAACCAGTGCTTCACGTGATCGATTCGGCTACAACATTCAACGGCGCGCGATTTCTACCGTCTATGAGCGCGAAAGACACCTGGGAAGCACTCCGCCTGCTCTGGATTGATACATACCAAGGGCCGCCAGATATCGTCACCCACGACGCCGGCACCAACTTCGCGTCAGTCGAATTCAGATCAGAGGCGAAGATCATGGGAATCACATGTAAACAAGTGCCAACCGAGGCCCATTGGTCTATCGGCAAGGTAGAAAGATACCACGCACCGCTCAGACGCGCGTACGAGATCCTGAGGACAGAGCTTGACACTGGCACCAGCGACGCCGCAGTGTTGC